TCTGTTGAAGGAAATTAAAAAAATTCTGAATTAATTTAGCTTAGCTTTATTTAACTAATTTTCGATTTTATTACAAGTAGTTTCTATAAATATTAAAACTTGAGAAAACGTTGAGTCAAACTGTAGTAATTAGTGTCTTCAGATGTTTATTGACATGTAAAAGTTGATCACTAGATCATATGACTCAATCGGGTAGACGACGAGTAAGTGACACAAGGTATGCATGTACGAATCTAACTTTCTGCACATATTTCTATCATTTAGACTAGTCCGAACTAGACCGCTACATAAGACTGAAAGCTAATAGATGTCGTGTCACAGGCGCTCTGCCTTTTTTAATTTAAAATCTATTTTCGGACGGGATGCCCAGACGGGGTTAAAGATTCCAAACCATTTTGGACTAGTCATGTAGTAGGACTTTTTGAGAAAAAGACTAGACATGACGCATAGTCACGACTAGAAAAATGACTAGTCTTTTTACCCGTCCTTTGCTCGCCTGGGCTCTTATACTGCTATACCGCTCTAGCGGTATAAGCCCATCTTGGTGCTAGTTTTATATCGATTACGATTGGTGTGTTTTCGATTTTGCCGCAAATTCAAATTCCCCACCGACTCTCTACGAATTTATGCAGATAAAGTTGCTCTCTCGTATTTTTTATATCTTGTTTATGTCAGCCTTAATCATTTGTTTGTTGATTTGTGAGGGTTCATCTGTTGATGTATCAAATCAATTGTGATCGTAAAGAATACCTGATAGTTTATGTCAACGATAGTATATTCGTAAGTAAAAATTCCACATGTAGTCAAAACTTTGATTGAAATTTAACTAATTGTTGATTGCTCTGCTTGAAACTATTCGGCAATTTCAAAAGTCTGATGTTATATATTTCCCTCTCAATTTATTTAATTCTAAGAAACAAATGACATGAACATATAAGACTATCATGTTCTACTTTTCGAATGTTTTGCATAGAAGACAATCATAATCATTTTTAATTTTTATTTTCTTTTAATCATTATATCATGTATAACAACACATACAGATTATCAAAGACATGAAAAGAGAAAAAATAAATCAAGACAACCAGAACAACAAAAACACAAAAGATGTACGTTTACACTAATATAGATATTACGTAATAATAGACAATAGATAATTTATTCTTCTATTCAACTATTTCAAAATTTCGATTGGAAGGCGAACCACATAAGATATCAAAAATAACTCTTCGGAGGTCATTAACAAAGAAATCAGATTGATTTTCACAACAGCGCATCAAGATGAATATAGGTACTTTAAGCATCATTACGATCGTGTATGATAATTCATAATTGTAGTTTATTGGGTATCCAATAAAATACATGAACACAGTCACGATAACAGCAACTGGAGCATGTGAACCTTCAATTAACCAAAAAAACAAATTCATATATGTTATTGAATGGTTGTTATTTCCGAATCCGAGCCATCTGTATGCAAACGCACAAAACACATAAATGAATATCAATTTTATTTCTTGTTTTAGTAGACCACGTAAATATGAATATCTCTCTTGTCCATATGATGGTAAATTATTATGGAACATCATGGAGGAAGATAAAAGTATAAAAGATTCAGTGTCAACCAAGAGTAATATCATAAACATTGGAACAAAAAACATCATCAAAAGAAAATATTCAAGGAATGATTTTTGTATGAAATGAAGCAGTAACCAAAATTTTATGTTAATAATGCATGACATGTGTTGATGATAAATCGATGACGACTCGTCTATTGCAGACACAAAAGTTTCATTGATTGATAACATTGATCAATATGATACATTTTTGACTATGAACAATTCATATTATCTAGAAAGAAACTAAAACATTGCATATCCTATTGTCACGCTATATACACTGTGTAAAGAAATTATTCGAACACTTTGTGACACATTACTTGCGAAACAAATTTCACAATGAAGAAAAAAAATTTTCCTAACTTTAATTATACCATTCGACAAGTCAAAGTGTCTACTTTATTCCACAAAAAGAAATTTCTTCTACAAAAGGTTTTCAAAAATTTCAGAGGATTATTCATAAAAAATGTGATCTTCTACGCAAAAAAAACTTATTCGGACATTTATATTTTTTCTTTTATACTGCCTTTATTTTGCATCAAAATATTTCGAATTATACCTCATTCGATAGAGAAAATATTTGTCTATATGACGCTATCCTTCAGAAATGAAAACAACATTGATAGACCCTCTCAAAACTCGAAATATCTGAAGCTATAAAGATTTTACAGAAAACCTAGATTTTTCAGTCTAGAAGAAATGAAAACTCATCTGAAAATGCATCATTCGATATAGAAAGAAAAACTGAATCGAATCATGTCCTTGGTCTACAAAAATAATTCATCAAAAAGAATATTAATTAGTAATTACTATCAGATTCTTGTATGAACCTTCCATTAATTTACATTTTTTAGGGAGATAATTAGGTCGAAAATATTTTTCAACGATACAGGTTTCGAGAGAATTAAATTCTCTACAAAATAATGTACATTTACACAACACTAGTGATTTTCTTAGAGACGTCTTAGATCAATCTTTTCATGTGCATGTTATACTATAGGAAAGAAAAAAAATTCAGTGTGTTTCTGCATAGATGGGGGTGGGAAATGAGAATAAGAACATCCACACCCCACATCCATACCCCACGCTCACATCCACACCCACATCCATACCTACACCCATGCCCATAACCCACGCTCACATCCACACCCATACTCCCACACCTACACCCACATCCCAGCCACCCCATCCACACTCACACCACCACACCCACACCCCATGCCCACACCCATACCTCCACACCTACACCCACATCGACACTCACCCACACCCATATCTACACCCACCCCACCCACACCCATATCTACACCCACCCCACCCACACCCTCTTTTTTTCCCAAAAATTTTCGTCATCTTCTATTCGAAAAATAAGCTGTTTTTATAAAATACGGAACATGTTTTCCGTTTTTCTCAGTCTATGACTTGTCAAACGTGCAACCCTAAATTCTCTGTCAATGGTCATCCTATATATTTACATATTTGTTTTGGGTGGAAAGAGCACGTCAGGATGCAGGGTTCCACAGCATGTTTTCTTTTTTTAAAATAAGCTTTTTTTTATCATATAAGAAAACACTTCTCTGGAAACAGCACCATTTTTAAGAAGTCTTTTAAGTCATTGAATTTGTGATTCCATCCTTCTGTTTAAAATGTAAGAGCTTTAAAAAATATCGAACTCTATGATGGCTGGCATGTTGCTATCCTCTTTCAAACAAAATAAATGAGTCTAGAATGAGAATGTGAACGTGGAGTGTAGATGTTCTCTAGTGAATACACCCATACTCTTCATATTCTATTAACTTTAACTTAACTGATGATTGCGTAAATATTTTTCTCTATATTGAATATAATTCTTTTGTTGCCGTTTTTTTTTTATTACACAAAGAGCAAAAAATAATAAATATGAATACTTTTATTGTTATTTACACACTCGTTTTTTATTCACTTGTCTTGTTTGATAGATAAAATAAGTGATCTAAAGTGCATCAATTGTGTTAAGAACAGATTTTCAGATTGACTTCAAAACAAATCGTGCTCATCTATGAAAGTAATAAACACTATTGAATTTTAATTTAAATGTCTAAATGAAATATTATTTTTCAAAATACTTCTATTCCTTTATTCCTTTAGTAACCTTCTGTAACATACAAAATTTTATTAGTGTATATAAGAAGATATAAGCGTATTACTAGATATAAACAAAAATATTTAATGTTTGCAAACTATTTCTTATTTGCATACAAGAATAAATATTCCCAATTATAAAAAAAAAACATTTATGACAATTGTCGGATAAAATACTCATTCCAATCAATGATATTTAGAATGTGAACAACTATCTAAATCTAATTCATCATTTTATCGCAAATATGGAATATCGAACATAATGCTCATTCTTTATGACACTTAACTATATTTGTCTATTCACAATTGTTACTTTTTCATTGTTTAAAATACAATGAATATGTTTCTTGAAGAGTCAAATTATCATGAAGTACTAAATGAAACATTTAGGTGATTGTTCTGTATTCAAAGATTATGTACAAATATATACAAATAGAATTAATCCAATACAAATCATGGAAATATGAGTTATGAATAAAATCTATAAGGGGTCAATCACACAGAAAAAGATAAAACAAATAAAGCGACGCGATTGGTCTATTCCGACTTAAATCGGCTTTTTGAGATGATTTAGGGGTCGAACATAGTCGGTGTGATTGGGGCCTAACAAACTTTTCAACATTCAATATCATTATCGTATTCATCTCAACATTGGATTGGTATATTCTATTAACGAATGATAAACATGCATGTCGTTAAATCGCTGTATTTTCTGTAAAATAATAATAATAATAATAACAGTAATCAAAAAGAGCATTAGTGAAATACGCTCTAACCAACTGGAATCCCAATTTAGTTCGAAGATATTATTAATCGATAGAACTTAGAATTCTTCACTCAAGAGATCCCACTTTAAGCCATTTTCTTTAAAATATCTTTGACAAAAGAACGAAATAGCATTCTTATGGGTCCGCTCCAAACGATTCTAAGGTACTCCAACACACTATAAGCCCAGTTCAAACTATTGCGCGTCACTCTAATCAAAACTTCACGGGAAAATGAATACACGAGAATAATAAATCACGCTTCGATGTATTTTAGATCTATCTATTCCTAGGACAAAAGGTAGTGCAATGGATAGAGCTCATCAAGATCTACTTGGAATCAGCATTGGTCTAGTTGGAACGGCCTTCAGTGCCAATCGTGATGGGAAATATTGGAATCCTGACCTAAGATATCCTACGTGACATCAATGATAATTGAGGTAAATGTGAACGCATATTAACAGCAAGATTAACATTAAATGGTACCAAATATCTGTTATTCTTTTTTCTCGCTTGGAAAACAATGATAAGAAGCCAATAACAAACAACCAAATGATATACCATTCAATGTGATTTGTTGATTACGACATTTTTCATGTAAATATGAATAGACTGTTGATGAACTTGAAGTAAAGAAAAAGTTGCTTTTAATTGGTTGAATAGGAAACGGTGTTGGTTCACCATTGAGAGGAATTGCCTTAACAGGAATATGTAGATGACTAAGTTTACGTAATTCACGCTGATACATTTGTGTACTAATTCGTGCCATGAAATGGGGAAAAGGATTATACAGACGAGATGTCAACTGAATGATACAAGGAATCAATTGTGTATTTACAGGTTCCATCCTATCACATAAATCCGATAACGTAACTAAAGTTAAAAATTCATTCATTAAAATGTAGCCAGTTTGTCCATCAGATGCACAATGATTACTAAATAGAAGTAAGTGAAATAGATTGTCATTTGATAGTGAAGAATTTTCGTTGAAAATAAGCATGAAATGAAAAAGAGTAAAAATAGTCTTTCCATTATCAGAATATGGATTTCGATTGCATTCATTGTCGACAATTTTTTGCCACGATTGGTCATTTGTATTAACAATTGAATAAAATAGATTTGCCTTGAGATGTTCTTCATCATAGTCGAAAATTTGAAGTGAATGTTGATAACCTTCGATGTGAAGACGTGTTCGCATGCGAGGATGTCGTTTAAGTAGATGAGGAATGACATGTTGAATATTATTGACAATAATTGTATGATCACCAGTTAAATGAGCAGCATGACAGATAGTTGACCAATTCCCATGTACACAAGAGTACCTTTCGAATCCTGATAGTTCCAATACTGATGCAATCTTAAGTGACATTATTTTTTGAGTCAATATGCGCACTTCTGAAGCGTTGTATCAATACTGGTAGAAAGAGAAACAAGAGTCAATAAGGTGCTTTTGCTCTTTTCTTTCTATTATTTGTGTATGACTATGACAGCTTTTTATAAAACAATATTTTTATTTTATGTTGACTTTTGGTGTACTCAGAGAATCTGTCATTTATATTCAAGTAGAAAAAGATAAATTTCTGTTTTATTTAAAGTATGATTTTTGCCAAATTCGTCTTACTAGTCGCAAATTTTAGTCATAGAAGAAATGAGAACATTTTGTACAATGCGAGGATTTGTTTTTTAGAAATCGAGTAAATATCCTTTGTATTATTGTTGATCAAACGAAATAAATTATTCTGTTTATTTTATATTATTTATAACTATGTAGAAAATAAACTCTTCTGTAGCAATACAAAAGTCAGAAAGACGAAAATTTAACAATGATCGTGTACTTGAAGAAAACATCATTTCTTGTTTTCATAAGATTATTGTCGAAGAATATTCATTTCTGCTTTCAAATCTTCTATGGACAACTGGAAAATAAACTGATGAATAAAGTTCTTGGCACTTTTTATATACTTCATATCGTTTTTCCATTTAAGAAAAAGTCTTTTCCAAAACAATTTCTAATTTAGTACCAAATCCTTAACCATTTTAGTTGATTTAAAAGAACATTCTCACTTAATACCACTAGTTTCTTCAAAAGGATAATTTAAAGAAAAACAGCATTCTCATATTTTTTGTGACGACATACATTTTAGATGCAAGAGCTCTTTTTTAATTCATAGGCAAAAACATTTAATAGTGAAAGATTTCGAAAACATTACAGTTCTTCGACAGACCTATCAATAATGAACCAAAAATCATCAAACTCACTATGTGCGAAAATAAGATACAACTCCAATATTTATTTTATTTAAAATTACTCATCTATTTCAATATTATGTTTCAAAATATAGATTTTTTTCAATTACACATACAGTCATTATTATATTGATCTCTAACTATAAACGAATAAAATAAAATCAATGATATAGCAAACATTGATATATATACTTTATGATTTTATCAGTTCTGTTTGTTTTCAATAGTATTCTCTATTGAATCTACGTTACTATTATTTGATATCAACAATCATCTAATCAATTTTGTTATTTGAATTCTCTCTATATCTCTGCTTCATGCGATTGCTGTAGTGATTGACTATTCTTATCACATTTTTATTGTGTTTTAAGAATAATTGTTAGTGAAATATATTCTTGAAACAATTAGTAAAACTGTGTGTTCCGAGTTCAATATATACAAATGAAATAACGATAAGAAAATAATCTCTTTTAATAATTCATAATTTTAATTGACAATGGTACTATTTGGAATGTGAATAATATTCTGTTCTATTTCTCTAGTGATAAAAATCACAATGAACAATGTTTCATTATACATTAGATGATCTGAAGCATTGGCAAAGTATCTTGTTGATGTTTATAAACTCTACAATTATTGAGTCTCCTATAAAATCATTATCTGATGCTATAATCTGTATTGATGAAATGTTTTCTTTTTTTTTGTGAAATAGTAGAATAAAAGTTGTGACATCGATAATTTGATGTTACACAGTTGAATTAGAGCGTTTGTACAAATTCTGTTATTTCATATTGAATGAAACAAGTATCACCACGTACGACATATTATTAGTGTTTTATCAGACACAAAAAAAAACAACAAACAATTACACAGTAAACGAAAGTTTCATTTATGTATATACACTAATAAAGTAAGAAAAAGAAAACATAATATTAGGTAGGGATTTTCTCAAGCAATATCATATCTAATTTTGATCTGAGAGACGATATTAATAATTTTATTTCTTTGTTGTAGCCTAGTATGAAATATTAGTCTTACATCGTATATGCCCTTGGTTGGTTTGATTCACAAGTTAAGCATTCGTTAGTACATACGATCATGCACTACGAACACTTGCGACTCGCTTATCAGTCCTTAACAATGAAAGAGAAGAAAAATTCAACAACGTTTACTTGTCTGTCCGTATCTGCTAGCAATATACATATATATATAAATATAAGACGATGTGAAGAGAGAGAGCAATAGAAGAGAAAAAGAACGTTTATCATACACTAGTTCATCGACTGTTGACAACACTTTCTCTCATATATCTTCGAAGCGAGATAGCTCGTAACCGCAACTTGTTGTATTGACAATCAGGTGAAAAGAAAAACAATTTGAAGATAAATTAACCCACCTCATATAAGAATGTTGAACTTTTGATTACAACAAAAAATGCATTTAGCAAATAGTCTTTCAATCCTCTCGCTATTCGATTAATTTTTTTTCTATCTGTATCTGATTTCCTCCTTCAACATGGATTGTATATAGACTCTCGCGCGCGTCCGTCATTGATTAGACTACATTGCATGAACTGTGACTTGTGTTTTGTTGGGTCGAATAAAGTGCGTGTACCTAATTAATATCAACATCGACTATCATCAGTCTAGCTTATTGTTTAGATTTGAATTGAAAAGAGAGGTGGGTGAGTTTATTTTCTTTCTTTTTTTTCTTCTCTTGATACATCGAAAAAGTTCAACGAGCCGATAATATGTAATTTGACCGAATTTTTATTATACTGCTTCTTTCTCTTCTTTTTTTAGATGCATTAGTAAGAAAGAGAATGACGAACAGTTGAGAAGGTGGCAATCATTTATTGAATTTGTTCATGTTGAGCTTCTCAAAAGAAGAAAAGTAATAGCAATCTCGTTCTCACAGATGCCACGTATTTTATCAGTATAACTGATGATCACCCAGAGCAAAACAAGAAGCCTTGAGGAATGTATGAATGTATTCATTTCATCGTCTTTCTTTTATGTTGCATAATCATCAGTACAGTCTGTATTGATATAAGTCATTCATCATTGTAGAAATACTGGTGCTAGTGATCTAATCTAGTAGTTGGCATCAGTAGCATTCATTTTATTCATTCTCGATTGAACGAGCACATTCACACGTACATATATATGTATATAAATATACATAAAAAACAAATGCCTTAATAGAAAGAAGAAAGAGCGATTCCATCTGGTAGTGTCGATAGTGTTGATAATTGTGGTAGTGTTAAAATAAGTCATGTTGGAACAAGTGAGTTCAAAAATTCTTTTTTTTTTTCTTTATATTTCGTATTTATGATTACATGCTAATATTCTACCTCTCGTGTTGAGCCATAATTGTTCTCTGTGTCCTCTATTTTGTATTCTTTCGCTCGTCTATATTCGATGATTATTACTGATGACGAAAATCGGTCGCAATATTTACAGTTATTCTCTTCTCTTTTTCTCTCTCTCTCTCTCTCTCTCTGTCTCTGTTCTCATAACCACCTGCAAAGGATATATATTTAATCATACTAACATTAAATATCGTGAATAATTTTGCAATTCTTTTATATCTTACTTTACGTATTCGATATTTGAAAGAAATTAATTGCAAAATAATGAAAAGTTTGACCACCCTAAATCAACATCAAAAACAATCATGTGAATCTCCTCGATCGGTATTTTCATTATTCAACATCAAGTTATATTTCATTTATTATTTTTTAGCTTATGTCAGACGTAATCGATAGTAGTTCAAGTACAAGTACAATTGAATCAAGTCGTAGTTCAAAATCTATTCTTCAATTAATTACATGGTAAATAAAACAAATAGTAAGAAACTATTTTAATCGATTTTTATTTTAGTCCAATTTGCCTTGAAATTTTTCGTGAACCATTACAATTACCTTGCCAACATACTTTTTGTAAATTATGCTTAGAACGAATTACAGAAGATCGTTGGGGTCGATGTAAATTATATATTATATTGATTTTACGTTTTTCTTTTTTGATATAATAAATGTTTAGGCCCTGTATGTCGTGGGTGTTATCGAGTACCATTTGCTGGCGTAGGCTCATTTGAAGTAAATCGAACAATTGTGAATTTACTTGAAAGTCTTTCACATACTGAGCCAAAACCTATGCTTAAAGCAAAATGTGCTCTTTGTAAATTAGAAGATACAATTACTGTAAATATTTTAATAACTTTATTAAAAGCAAAATAAATATGCTAAGTTATTTTATCTAGGTATGTGAACATTGTCGAGAAGCCATATGTTGTAAATGTCGTCGACAACATTATGATGAATTTTCTCGATATATAAGTTCAAAATTAAATGAAACTCAACAAGAAACAGAAAAATTAATTGCTAAAGAAGGTAAAAAGAAAATAAAGTTTCTCTTAATAATAATTGAATTATTATTTTTATTTTTATTTTTTTGAAATTAAAGTTGAAAATATAAAAAATCATGAAGAAAATGTTTGCCGTTCAGATGATATTGCTAATGTAATTCGTAATAAAGTAGCTGATCTTATCGAAAAAATTAAACAGGAAGAAACAAAATTACTGCATAATGTACAAGAATTTAGTAAAGCTGAACAAAAGTAAATATTTTTGTCTATGTGTATGTAAACTTATTGTTTTGACTATTAATCTTTTAGATTAATTGATGAAAAAAATGCTTGTCTTCAAGATCTTTCAATCATTAATAAATTTTGTTTAGAATCTCAAGGAATATTACACAGGTAGGCATAAAATATAGATTGAATATCGACTAGTTCAAAGTATGAAACTTTTCTTGAGTTTTTTTTTTCTATTTGACTTTATCAATAAATTACATACTTGAAGATATTATCTATTTCTTTCTACTTTATTAAAGCTGAGAGAATCATATGATAAATATTGTCAAAATACATATATTAAATAACAAAAAAAAAAAAGAATTGAAAAGTCATTTTTTTTGTTGTTTTAGTAAAGAAGAAACAGATCAAGAAGCAATTGAAATTCGACAAAAATGTGAAGAATATGTGCTCAGTGTCAATGATCTTCAAAGTCGAATACTTATTGTTAAAACACCCATTCGTCGAGTAAATCAAAACATGAGA